GTTCACAAATCACGCTTTTCAAATCTCAGCGTCAGCACTGACCAGCTGAGTGGCTTGAAGCCAGTGGTTTTCAACTGCGTGGTAATTTTTTCCTCCTGGGGGACATGTAGCAATGTTGGAAGACATTTTTGGTAGTCACAACTTGGGGTACTAATTCTATCTAGTGGGTAAAGGTCAGGGAAGATGCTAAACATTCTAAAATGCATAAGACAGCCCCATAATAAAGAATTTTCTGACCCAAAATATCAATAGTTCTGTTGTTGGGAAACCCTACTTTAAGAAAAAAACTTAATCATTTTGAGCTTTAGTTCCTTCTTCTATACAACGAGGGTAACAATGATCTGTGGTGGTGTGAGAAACGCACACAGTACTGTACTTACAGCATATAACATAATAACTGGCATGTAGCCAGCATAAAAAATGGTAATTGTTTATGTATTAGGCATTGTGTTGTATACGTCTTAAGACGTTATCAGCTTAATATTAAAAGAGTAGTCCAATTACTCCACAAGTATTTTTTGAGCCCTTTCTGTATACTAGCCACTGATCAGTTTGCTGCAAATAGATTAGTTTCAAAAAAAAACAGTCTTTGCCCAACAATCTCTGACCTCAGGGAGCTAACAACCTGCAAGTAGGCATTTGTGTTCCCCGTCTTGCCACTGGGAGAACCCAGGCTCTGAGAGGTTCAACTAAGAAAGCAACATGGTCAAGATTTCAATGCTAACAGAGGTAGAACTGGATTTCAGTCTAACCAGCTCTACCTGATTCTATAGTCCACATTCTTTCTACTCCATGATTGTCAGGTGCCTACTTTTAGCCTATGAGACATGTGAGGATTGTAGCTCTCACCTCTGTGCTAATCTTACCGATTCTGTTAGGATGATCATCCATATCCTTTCACCCTGCAGTATATGTCTACAATGATATTCTGATATTCTTTTTTTATATTTCATTTCATTTCATTTTTTTGAGACGGAATCTCGCTCTGTTGCCTAGGCTGGAGTGCAGTGGTGCAGTCTCGGCTCACTGCAAGCTCTGCCTCCGGGTTCATGCCATTCTCCTGCCTCAGTCTCCTGAGTAGCTGGGACTACAGGTGCCCGCCACCACGCCCAGTTAATTTTTTTGTATTTTTAGTAGAGACGGGGTTTCACCATGTTAGCCAGGATGGTCTCGATCTCCTGACCTCGTGATCCGCCTGCCTCAGCCTCCCAAAGTGCTGGGATTACAGGCGTGAGTCACCGCGCCCGGCCTACAATGATATTCTTTCTGTTTTGTTCCCCTTTTACTCTTTATTAATTCAACAAATATTTACTGAGCACTTGCTCCTTGTTAGTATACAGTGGAATTGGAGATGCTATCTTGGTCTGCAAGGAGGTCATGGCTTATAGGGATGAGACCAAGGACCCATGACTGGAGCCCTAACTACTCACATGCCTGACACCATTTCCATCTTGGAATTGTGGACCTCCTTACCGGTGTTTATGTGTACTTTCTGTAACTCGCTGCCACATGCACAGTTACCTAGTTTGTGTATGCAGCAACATTTTCCTTGCGCGTACAAAAGATTCCCGGTGTAACCTTCATGTACCTGAGGCTCATGGTACACTTTTAGCTTTGCACAGATTGATGTCACAGTACATTCTTAGCTGTAGAAAATGTGGTCTTTATGATGTTATTTGTTCATGACCCTGAAGGTCCATGCCTCATACAGTATATTGGAATTGTGCTGAAATGTGAATCTAGTTACACGACCTGAAAAACAGACGAACCAGAGACTATTACTCATAGTGACAGAACCTCGAAATCATTCAACATTCCCATCAAAATTTGACTTTGTAGGTTCCACAAAGTAATAAAAAGTCTATTTTTTTCCAGGTATGTTTATAGCTGATGTTACTTTAGGAATATCACAGTGCAGTATCTTTAGGAACATCACTGTATCATAGCGTAGAGTTTGTTTTGATGGAATCATATGGTTCTGAAGGAGCACTTCACATTTTAAAGCATTCTTGACTGAACCGTGGGAGCACCTCTGGTGGAAAGCAGGTACTCACCAAAATCTCAGATGCATGACTTATGAATACCAAGGCCCTACTCCACTAAACAGCCACTTTTCGTTGCTAACTGATGGCATCACTCAACTTTCAAATACATCCCTCTGCTGGAGCTGGACCATGAATTTTGTTTGTCTGATGTACTTAAGAGTCTGGACTCTCTTCAGAGAGACCTCACTTCCAAACTCTACTTTGCCAATATTAGTTGATTAACTTTTGTCAAACTGACCTTCTTCTGCTTCAGTTTTCTCATCCACAAAATGAGGTTCATAATGAGGGATCTCATTTCATTCGATTGTTGTGACATTAGTTTCTTATGTTTACACATGTAACATGTAATGTCACAAAGTCTCTTCTGGTTCACAGACAATAAAAGTGGTGATAAGATCTGTAAAAATCCAGCAACTACAGAAAACGTTGGAGAAAATTTGGATAAAGACATCAGGGTAAGGTAATCCAAAGCTGACTGTGCCTGAGTGCTGTTTTCAGGATGCAAAGGATTAAGCAGAAGCTGTTTAATTATCTTTCATATTGTACAATATCTAAGGTCCAATGATCAATATATCTTAGCCTTCATTTGTTTTCCACTTCCACCCTTTGATTTATCACTCGCCACTCCCCACTGTCTTGTTCACCGAGTGTGTGGTCTTGGGCTTCATGCACACGCCTGCTTTCCCCGTCTTCTGGAAGCCTCTGTCACCAACCGGACTGGCGTGTTTCTGATTCTAAACCCAGGAATCCTTTTTGCTCTTGACCACTTTCTGGCACAAGATATAGACTTTATCCCTCAACTGGTCAACCTCAGCACTTACCACCTGCCCAAGTAGTCCTCTCTGTCTTTCTCTTTGCATTCTAGATTAACTGCCACAGGGATCACAGCACAGGGAAGAGCTCCCTTGGTATCTGATTGCCAGAGTTCAAATTTTCATTCTGCCACTGATTAGCCAGGTGGCCAGGTTATTTAATCTCTTCATGGTTCTGTTTTCTCATCTAACAAGTGGAGATCATAATCTCAACTACCTCATACAATTGTGATGAAGATTGAATGGGCTAATATCTATAAAGTGCTTAAAATGGAGCCTGGCCTACAGTAAATCTCATATAAGTGCACAACATTATTATTATTATTATTATTATTATTATTGAGACAGAGTCTCGCTCTGTCACCCAGGCTGGGGTGCAGTGGCATGATCTCGGCTCATTGCAACCTCTGCCTCCTGAGTTCAAGCCATTTTCCTGCCTCAGCCTCCCAAGTAGCTGGGACTACAGGTGCCCGCCCCCACGCCTGGCTAATTTTTTGTATTTTTAGTAGAGATGGGGTTTCACCACGTTAGCCAGGATGGTCTCGATCTCCTGACCTTGTGATGCGCCCGCCTCCACCTCCCAAAGTGCTGGGATTACAGGCGTGAGCCACCACGCCCAGTCTATTATTTTTATTACAGGTTCAGTCTCCTGCTCACTCCTCATTTTGTGACCCCTGCCCCATGTTTTTAAGTGAGCATTTTTACCATTAATGCTATTCTGATCACTTCTACACACTGGCTGCCGAGTGACCTCCCTCCCACCTGTACATCACCACCATCTTACTGTTTTCATTGCAGTTCACAGTACACAGCCTCATATTAACAAAATGCATTGACTTCACATTAAATATATAAAAATACGTCACCAATCATATCGATAGTTTAAAAATTTAGGGTGTAACCTTCACGTATCTGTGGCTCATGGTACACTTTTAGCTTTGCACAGTGCTAATCTCCTCTAGTGAAGAGAAGGACAAGGAGACTCTGGAATTCACAATCGCACGGGGGGAATGGTGTTCTGTCACACTGTTACGTTCCTTATTGGCCTTCTCATCTGCATATAATATCAAGGCACTTTCTTACGAGAGGAAGATAGAATCATGTTGATATGCTTTGAAAAAAGAAGCGTTAAGTTACATATTGCTAGTAGGTAGAGGTTTGTAATAAACCAAATTCTACATACAGAAGCCTGGAGCAGACTTGCCTTTGCTTGGGTTGTAGTTTATGCCACGTGCCAAACAACACTGGTTCCATTACCATTGTTGATTTAGAAGCCCCCATGACCAATCACAAGTTTTTTATTATTTTATTTTATTTTTTTTTGAGACGGAGTCTCGCTCTGTCGCCCAGGCTGGAGTGCAGTGGCCGGATCTCAGCTCACTGCAAGCTCCGCCTCCCGGGTTCACACCATTCTCCTGCCTCAGCCTCCTGAGTAGCTGGGACTACAGGCGCCCACCACCTCGCCTGGCTAGTTTTTTGTACTTTTTTTAGTAGAGACGGGGTTTCACCGTGTTAGCCAGGATGGTCTCGATCTCCTGACCTCGTGATCCGCCCGTCTCGGCCTCCCAAAGTGCTGGGATTACAGGCTTGAGCCACCGTGCCCGGCCAAGTTTTTAATTTTTTTTTGAGATGGAGTCTTGCTCTGTTGCCCAGGCTAGAGTTCAGTAGCGTGATCTTGACTCACTACGGTTCAAGCAATTCTCCTGCCTCAGTCTCCTAAGTAGCTGGGATTACAAGTGCCCGCCACCATGCACGGCTAAGTTTTGTATTTTCAGTAGAGATAGGGTTTTGCCATGTTGGCCAGGCTGGTCTCGAACTCCTGACCTCAAGTGATCCACCCGCCTTACCCTCCCAAAGTGCTGGGATTACAGGCGTGACCCACCATGCCCAGCCTAACCACAACGCATTTCAAAGGCGAATTAACTTTAGAATGAGTTACATGAGCAATTTCCCCCAAAGATGATTTGCTGACGCTTCTCTTGTGCAACACCGAGAACAACCATGTAACTTTCCTGTACAGAGAAGATATTCACGACTGGCCCCAGTGAGAGAAATTTACCTGATAGTTTTAAAATCCAAATTCATGTTACCCAAACAAATGTATTCTTCACACACATTTATACCGAATGAACCACATTCTTACCTATAACTTTTCCCAGAAAGAGCGACTTGGGAGAATTGAAGAGGGTGTCGGATGAACTTGGCAGATGGTAACTCACAGACGGATAATGATCGAGCTGCAGGAAGAAAACAAGAGACACTTTTAGAAGGACGTCACTACCCTGTGTGGAACCAAATCTTCCCTGTGGGGATGACGTCACTCTTTGAACCCTGGTTTTCTGATATCTTATTTCATCAGCCCTGACTCTAAAACACCAGCCCGAGAAAAGGGAAACCCATCTCTTCCTTTGCTGGGGTTCTTTGAAAAAATCCGAGCATGGTAAGTGAAGATCCTTATGAACAGCTTTCCAGGTGATGTACATTTTCTGTGGATGATTTACCTACAGGATTAAGATCCAGGCTCATTTTAATGGAGTAAAGTCTGCTTGACCCAATCTCCAGTGTCTCTGATATAGAATATGCCACAACTACAGCAATGAAGTTTTGCTGAAGCATTTTATTTTGTGATATAATCACACACACACACACACACACACACACACACACACACACACACACTCAAATGCTGAGGGTCAAGTAGGGTAAACAGTCATGGTTTTCTCACTTATCCCAATGAGAATGATTTCTCCTGCCACAGGCAGGGGTGGTTGGGTGAGTTGGCAGCAGAGAGAGAGAAATGCAGCTGTTGGGAACAGTGCACAGACAGTGACCATGGGAGCGACGCACATTTCTGATTCTGCTGCCCGTGGACAAAGTGCCAATGGTGGTGTCAGAATCGTTGGCCTTGTCCTTTGTGTCCCAAGTGACTTTTCCTGCCTCATATTTTCAGCTGTCTTTTTACCACCCATATGGCCTAGGTGTGTTTCTCCAACCGTAAGCTCTTAGAGCCTTCTGGGCCTTTTTTGTGCCCACCTGTGGAAAACTTTCTTTTGTAAGAATTCCTTTTTCTGAAGTGAGATTAATACGTGCTGAGGTCAGCGTGACGAGAGCTGTGGCTTATAAGAAAACACAGCATTGCTCTCCGACATGGGCATTCCCAAGGGGACCACGTCAATTGTGTAGAGGAAGGAGACAGAACAAGCAGTAACTTGTTGAAGGCAGCAGCACAGACTCAGAAGCAGATACGCTCCTGAGTCCTTGCTCAAACTCAGCCTGATTAGGCAAAAAACTGTCCTTCAGATGAGCAAAGACGCTGGAAGCTAGCCGTGCTCTTGGGAGGAAGGAGACAGCGGCAGGGAAGAAAGAGGGCAGGCAAGTGATCCAATCTCATCACCACATTGAGAACCAGCTACTACAATGAATAATCATTCATTATTGACTGTCTGAAGCAGAATCTTGAAACTGCTTCCTAGAAACTTAGAGATCATTGCACAGTCAGGGTTAAGAGTCAAAGGGTCATCACATCTCAAGAATATTTTAGATTTTTTGGCCCACAGAACTGGTACAGTAGGTTTTTGTGCATGAGTAGTATTGCCACAAAAATCCAAGTCACCCCCACCCCCAAAAACTATTAAAGCAAACATTTGCATGCTTGGCTATCATTTTGAAAAGTTTTCTATAACATCAAATGCATCATTAATGAAACAAACCAGGTGTGGTGGCTCATGCTTGTAATCCCAGCACTTTGGGAGGCTGAAGCAGGTGGATCTCTCGAGTCCAGGGGTACAAGATCAGCCTGGACAATATAGTGAGACCCTCATCTCTACCAACAATTTTAAGAAGTAGCCGGGTGTGGTGGTGTGCACCGGTAGTCCCAGCTACTCGAGAGGCAGAGGTGGGAGGATATAGCTTGAGGCCAGGAGGTGAAGGCTGCAGTGAGCTGTGGTCATGCCACTGTGCTCCAGCCTACGTGACAGAGTGAGACCCTGTCTCAAAGCAAACAAAAACACTTATTCCGTCCAGATAATCTGAAATATTTAAAATCTCATATAGTTGTTTCTTTGGAGCAAAAGCTCTTCAGTTTCTGCTCTTAAATATTAGCTAGCTGCTTTGGTGCCATCTGATGGCCCACATGGGTAACTGCCACCGCGCTTCTATTCACTTTCTTTTAAGCGGTTAAATGCAAAATGCCATTGTTAATAGCCTACCTGGCAATGCCTTAGGGGGTGGTGATCTCCCCCTAATACTTCTAACAATTTAAAAACTAAATTTGTGATCTGGGCAGTGGCTCACGCCTGTAATCCCAGCACTTTGGGAGGCTGAGGTGGGTGGATCATGAGGTCAAGAGATCGAGACCATCCTGGCCAATATGGTGAAACCCCGTCTCTACTAAAAATACAAAAATTAGCTGGGTGTGGTGGCGCTGTCCTATAGTTCCATCTACTCAGGAGACTGCGGCATGAGAATGGCTTGAACCCAGGAGGTGGAGGTTCCAGTGAGCCGAGATTGTACCACTGCACTCCAGCCTGGAGACAGAGCGAGACTCCGTCTCAAAAACAAAACAAACAAACAAACAAACAAAAAAACACTAAATTTGTAACAAAGTTCTATTTTCTTAAAGAACTTTAAAAATGGATACAAATAATATATGTTCATTACAAAAAATATAGATTTGCGGAAAAAACTGACTGCTGATAATAAATGTTAATTTCTAATGTATTTTCTTTCAACTTTTCACATAAAAAGGGGATAGAACCCAAGTAACACATTGTTTTGTATATTTTTTAACTTGACGATATATTATGAATGTCTTTCTGTGTCAATAAATATACAACAAAATTCTATTTTCTTACTTTAAAAATGGATACAAGTAATATATGTTCATTATAGAAAAAATAATACAGATTTGAAGAAAAAAACTGCCAACTGATAATCAATGTTAACTTTTAATGTATATTCTTTCAACTTTTTAAGTAAAAAAAGGATGGAACCCAACTAACACATATTATGTTTTGTATATTTTTTAACTTGACGATCTATTATGAATGTCTTCTGTCTCAATAAATATACAACAAAAATCATTTGTCATGGATGACTAGTATTTCATTCTATGGATACACAGTTTAAAAGATCTGTTAAATTTCCATGTTTGGGTTTTTATATTTCTGTGTCCTCAGGCCCAATACAGTGCTGGATACATGGTGGGATCTCGATAATTGGCATTAACAGTTGTTAATGCAGCTCTTAAAGTCGTGAGCACCAAAGGGAAATCCGTCCTCAGGTGTGGTGTGACCCACACAGTGGAGGTACCTTCCTTTCCCTGAATTGTTTCTGCGGGTCCAGACCAGACGGACTTGGCTTTTTGGCAGCCATTGTATATTATCTTTGCTGAGCTATAGTAAAATAAAATTCCTGGTTGATCTCTATAAGTGTATTCTCTTCCTATGTCTGCGTGGTTGATGGCTTGAACCAAAATGCTAAATTTTACATTTATTTATGTAAACCTTTCTTTCGTTTTATTTTATTTTTTATTTTTTTGAGACGGATTCTCGCTCTGGTGCCCGGGCTGGAGTGCAGTGGCCGGATCTCAGCTCACTGCAAGCTCCGCCTCCCGGGTTCCCGCCGTTCTCCTACCTCAGCCTCCCGAGCAGCTGGGACTACAGGCGCCGCCACTACGCCTGGCTAATTTTTGTATTTTTAGTAGAGACGGGGTTTCACAATGTTAGCCAGGATGGTCTCGAACTCCTGACCTCGTGTTCCGCCCGCCTCGGACTCCCAAAGTGTTGGGATTACAGGTGTGAGCCACCACGCCCGGCCACTTTTATAGCTTTTGTTTTGTAACACAACAATAGCCTACTTAGAGGTTTTTGATTGTTGATTCTGTCATCTTGCGTATGTGTGATCCCGCTTGGTTTTGACTTTTCTAAAAAACATAATGAACACTCCTAGCCTTAACTCATTGATGAAGTCATTAATTTCAAAACAGTGAACAGGAACCTAAATGGGTCATGATGTACAGTTCTAATCCAAATTACCTGCTCAGTTAGGAAAATATGAGAAGTGACGAGGATATCCGGAAAGCCTTGAACATTCACAAAGATGAAGCTGCAGTGCCTGAGGAAATTCTCTAATAAAGGAGGGATGGAGGAAAGCATTCTCCGATCAGCCTCCGATCTTACCACGAGCGAGGCGTCCTTACGTCTTCTCTCGCCTGCTCCTGCCTGCCTCGTGCCTAAGACGGCGGGGTGTGGCCGGAAGGGATGGGTGGGACGGTGGGGTAGGTGGGTAAAGTGAAGAGGACCCTAAAGGAAAAGCGGCTCTGCCGCTGACGGCGGCTGCTTTGCCGAGTGTTACCACCAGGTGGTGCTGTCCCCCAGCCGAATATAATTCAGAACAGCCACATCGGATCAGGGCTCTACAGGACCTGAGACCCGCCCAGGGAATCCAGAATTCCCCTGTTATATTAATCACATCTGCAAAGCCCCTCTTGCCAGGGAAAGTGACGCGCTCTCAGGTCCTGAGAATTAGGACGTTATCTTTTGGAGGCATTATTCCGCCCACCATATCTCCACATTCAGACAAAATTGCAGAATGCTCTTGTGCCACATGGTCAGGTCCCACAAGGGTCTTTATAGGAGGGAGGCAAGAGGGTCACAGTGGAGAGAAGATGTGACAACGGAAGCAGAAGTTGGCGTGATGTGAGGAAGGGGCCGAGGAACGCAGGAGACTCTTAGAAGCTGAAAAAGGCAAGGAAACAGATGCTCCTCTCAGAGCCTGCAGAAGGCACCAGCCTTTCTCATTGACTTCAGCTGTTTGCGCTGCCTGCCCTTCTGGCCTCTGGAACTGTGAGATAGTAAATGCATGTTGCTTTAAGTCCTTAAGTTTGTGGCGATTTGTTACAGCAACACTGGGAAACTAATACAAGAAATTTATGGAAAAAAAAAAAAAAGACCTTGTACAACCCCAAACCAAAACATCTGTTTCTCCCTGCAATTTCTTCAGTAACAGCGTTAGCGTTCTCCGTTCTTCCTGCCTCCCAGATGAAATGCATTAAGGGGCCCAATAACTGAATTAGCCCTGCTTTTCTGAGCGCACCCAATTGATAAGAGACACCTGCTTCCTTGAACCCTCCTCACCATAAGCCTGATTCCTAAAATAAACCCTTCCTGACTCTTAGAGCCACCCCGTCATTCTCTAAGGTATACGGGTCTCTTTGCGTCAATTATCAACTTGTTGC